GCCAGGGGATGTGGAACCTCGGCCTAGACCTGGTTGTTGCCCAGCATGTTTTCCCGAGATCATCTGCATGCACGTGAAACTTGTTTGAAAGCGCATTCAACAGACTTTGCCATGTGTTTCTAGGATTTGGACTTGCCTTGACCCCTACGTTTGAAGAACTAAGTGAGTGGTATTTTTAATAAAGCTATGTTATAACGTTTTGATAAAAGCTTTGCTTTGCTTTGTTTTGAAAGTAATTGTAAGCATGAATGGTTATTCCTAATTGGAAAATGTGTTTCTATTATCTTGTTTTGATGACATTCTTGGAAGTCTGTACGTGCTAAGGGACTATAAGCACTTGTAGCACAAAGTTTGGAAGTCCGTACGTGCTAAGGGACTATAAGCACTTGTAGCACAAAGTTTGGAAGTCCGTACGTGCTAAGGGACTATAAGCACTTGTAGCACAAAGTTTGGAAGTCCGTACGTGCTAAGGGACTATAAGCACTTGTAGCACAAAGTTTGGAAGTCCGTACGTGCTAAGGGACTATAAGCACTTGTAGCACAAAGTTTGGAAGTCCGTACGTGCTAAGGGTCTTGTCTTGTTTGCCACTAACGGTTTACCGAGTGGGTTTTGTTTGCCGAGATGTCATCACTTGTATTATAATGATGTTAGTAAGCATCCTTTGAAACTTGACAGATTTGGAAGATGGACTTGGTTCATCCCTTGACTTGCACTAATTATGTTATGTATTGTTTGATAAAGATCTTGAATACCAGTCAGGCAAACCCCTTTATTTCTTATACCATTCACTGAGTGTCCAAGCTCACCCTCTCTATATATATGTAGGTGATGAGCAGGAAGGCGGTGACGCCTAGGTGTGACTTGCAAGCTTGATTTGGGTTTTTGTTATGTCGGCCTAACTTGTATTCACGTCGGCAGTCTTGAAAATCATGCTTCTCGGCTTATAATGCTTGTAATTTACACATGTCGGCTGGAGAAGCCTTTTGATCAAGATGTAAAATGTATTTTGTACTTTATTGTATTTGTATTCAAGTTGTAATATTATGTAAAGTTGTGTGCCATTCCATGTAACTTACGCACTGCTCTTATGGACCACTTGTATTTTTAAATTATTGCTTCCGCACTCGTGAGCCATATATATATATTATACTCTGGTGTGTGTAAATTTTTGAAAGTTGGCCTTCGGTAATCTCGGATTACTGGCCATCACGGCACCAAACTACTAGGGGCGGTTTGGGGTCGTGACAAGGTCGAAATTATAAAACATGTGGTGTTCTTTCCTAATAGGAGACGAAGGAATACATGACCATTTGACAAAGGGAACCACACGGAGAGTAGCTCCTCTTAATAGTTCGTTTTCTCCATAATTCTCAAGAATTCATTTTTTGGTTTTTGTAGGGCCTCACGACGGTGATCCGAACCATTTATTTCTTAAGTCTCAAAGAGAAAAACATATATACAAAAGATCAACTTGATTGAAAATCAATATATACACTAACTAATTGTGTTTTGTTTTATGAAATTGATGGTAAATATTAGTTTAAACCAAAACGGTTCATTTTATAAAACAAAATACGATAGTTAGTATGATTATCGATTTTCGATTAAGTTAATTTTTTACATATATATTCTTCTCTTCTAGGTCTATGAGATAAACACTTTAGATTATCGTGGTTAGGGGTCATCAATGGGCCTGAGAGGGCTTACCTAGCCCGCAACTATATTGTCCAAATTCCATATTTAAATGGATTTTTCGAGTTTTGACCAACCAATGGGCTGGTATGGGCCGAGTCTATTTAAAAAATTAAAATCACGTCCCACCCATAAGCCAAAATCTTACTGGCCAAAATCAAACCAAACCGGGCTACACATTCACTTATATTATTAATTTCTACACATTTTTCTTTCACATATCCTTAATATTTTCATTAGTTATTTTTCTTATTTTCTTTCCAACATAATTCAAGTATTTTGATTTCTTTTTTCTTCTTCTTTTTTTACATCCCATATAGTAATAAAATAAATAAATAAATAAATCAGAAACATATTATACCTACAAGTGGAGGGGCAAAAAATGGAAAGAAAAAAAAAGCTTTAAACATGAGAACAAAAAAACAAATATATAAATAATCAAACTAAACATTAGACCAAAAAAACTCGTACTAAATATTACACTTACCCATGCGGGCTCTTACAGGTTGAGTTTATGAGCAAACTCTGGTTATAAACTTTTGTCTAAAATCCTAAATCATCTTTTATGAGTTGGGATGGGATGAACACTTAAGCGAGTTGGGACAGACCATGGGATGGGTTGGTCAAGTTGGGTAATATTGAGTTTTTTTAATCACAAGCCATTTGGAAACCCTTAATCGTGGTGGAACACCACAGAACCCACAAAGTAGAGTCTAGAAATAAAATATGATTTTTTGATATTAAAATATATCAAAAGCACCCAAGAAGGGTGTTTATGGTATTTTATATAGTTAATCTCCTTACTAAAATATATGACAAACAAACACAATTTTTCTTAATCCCCTTACTAACAATCCCCCACACTAATAGTCTCCTCACTAACAATCTCATCCAACCTAACTCTGAAAGCATAGGGGCCCATAGATCATGAATTTACTTAGATGCAAACATTTATTTAGTAATTTATTACCATTATAATTGATATGTTTCAGTGTTCTTCTTAGTATCCCAGGAAAAACATTTCCCAATCTCAGCACTTCATTGATAACCTGCAGTTTTGGCATACCAACACAAGATAATGACGCAATGTGCCATTAATTTCAAAAAGAGAATATACAAATATACATGGTTTAGAGTGTGAAACTCGCATGCATGGTAACAGTCATGGATTTATATTCATCCCATGTCAGTGGAAATTCTTTATTCTCTCTGTTTTTGAGCAGAATGTCATGCTCCACCTAAAATAATAATCAATATTAATTATAATACAAAGAATTGAATGAAATATATATAGATAGATAGATAGTAATTAAATTAGATTAGAGAAAAATATTAGAGTGAATAATGTTGATTGTTGATTTCATTATTACATACCACTAGATCCTCCACCACCCAAGGGTGTTTTGCAAATAACTTAAAAGACAGTGTTATGGCCGTGGATATGGACTCAACGGTAGCACACAAAGCTCCAACGGTGATCGAAAGAATGAAATTCTATGTCAAGAAGAAGTCAGTGTTCAAGTCTTTGACCTCATGATCAAAGAAGTCCCCTTTCTTTTCCTCTGGGCAAGCTATTCTCTCCTTTAACATTGCTCTTATTACCTTTTCTAACTTGTCCTTATCCTACAATCAAAAATCATAATCAAAATCAAATAAAATTTTGAGAAGGCAGAGTTTCCCTTTCTGTTTTCTAGTGTTATTATTACCTTCATACATTTGTAGAATCTAGTACCAGGGATGTTCAATGGAAAGGACATAAGACCTTGCACGAATCCAGCAATGGTGTCCGTTGTAACATCAGATGACTTTTCAAAATCTTGACCAAACAGATTTTTTGCAGCAAAAACTGCAACCATCTACAAAATCCATGACAACAAGTTTATTCATTAACTAACATGCCAGTAGCTTCGGAATTTATATGTGAATGAGCATAATAATAATAATAATAATAATAATAATAATAATAATAATAATAAGGGGATAAATTAAAAAAAAAGAAAGAAAGAAAAAAAGAAAAGAAAAGAAAAGTCAGGGTTTAACACTTATAATAAAATAAACGAAAGAAAGAAAAAAAGAAAAGAAAAGAAAAGTCAGGGTTTAACACTTATAATAAAATAAACTCTAAATTTTTAATTTTGTCAATTTATACTTTAATTTTTTTATTTGGTTTCAACTTAAACCATCAGTGTATTTATGTTAAGTAAAACTGACAAGGAAAATGACATTTTAGTTATTAAATTCAATGAAAAATAATATTTTAGACATTTAATGTACACCTATAAATACGTTTTTTTTTTTTTATTTACCTATAAAAAATAGTCAAATAGTTTAAATTGAAAATAAATATAAAAAAAAAAATTAAGGTTTAAATTTATTAAAATTAAAAACTTAAAATTACTTTGTTGCGAAAGTTAAATTCTGATTTTTCTTTCCTATTTTTTCTTCAATAAATATGTTACCATCCAAAATAGAGACATGATCATGAATTTTAAAAACCTGTATATTAGGACCCTATCTACATTTTACCAAAATTGTTTAACATCTCCAAAAAGGCAAAAATAATGTTTACAAACATAATTATTAAAAGAAGTTTTTGAAACTTTATTTTGTTGCAAAAACTATTTAAGAACCAATTTTATTGTATACACTACAAAAAAAATTGCTTTTTTGCGAAGGCAAAACGCCGTCGCAAATACCCTAAACGCCATCTCAAAAGGTTTTTTGCGATGGTTAGTGGCTTTTTGCGAAGGCAAGTGGGGAGTCGCAACAAAGGGGGTTGCAAAAGGGTTTTAGCGACGGCATAACACCGTCGCCTTTTTTTGCAACGGCAAAATGCCTTTTTTGCCACAGAAAAATTCTGTCACAAATAACGCATGAAAATTTGAGTTTATTTTAGACGACACTGTGTTGCCGTCGCTAAAAATGTCTTTTGCGACAGTAAAATTGCCGTCACAAAAAAACCTGGTTCAATTTTTTTTTGAAACGGTGTGTGCTGCTGTCTCAAAAAAAAAAAAAAATTGTAATAAAATTATTAAAATTATGAAAATAGCCTGTATTAAATGAAAAATAACTTTAAAAAAATCGATAATTACATAATAATATAAAAAGTCTAGTATATAAATAAAAATTCATCCATAATTAAAAATATGAAAATGATCTTCCATTTTTTTCTTTTTGCTGTTATACATTGTACAAGAAAGACTAACTAAGCAGTAATATAAAGCTAACAGAAGAAAGGGCATCACTAGCATCATCTCACTGAAGTTTAGCAATAAGCACATATATCTTATTCACATCTTCATGTCTGCCATGGCACAGATGATTTCAAATGAACATAATGGAAAGACAAGGAAAAATTACAGCTCTCAACACCGCCTTCTCCACTACTTTCACACTATGCAGATATTCTTCCTTCAAGTCATCCGGTAGCTAATTACAAACCCTGAAAAATAAGGATTATATTTAAATTAGACTAAAACAAAAAATTTAAAACTAAAATGTGCATCCCTTGAAACTGTCATTAGTCTAAATTATCAAGACACACCGACAGTTCTCCAAGTCACAAAATCATACACCTAAACACTAATCCCGCAACAGATGTCAACCATCAAATGTCTGAAATAAAAGTCATTACATTAATATGGCAATGATGCTTTACTTGGAACTGATCTAATCCAAAGACAACACAAAAATGGTCAAACATAGACTGCTGAGTCCCAACTTTATTTTCCATGCATTGCATGATTGGTGAATTAGTTCCCAGATCATAGGCTCTCGCATCATTAGATTTTGTCAAGTTCTTCCTTTTCTTCTGGCCAAACTTTGATGGCGTGTTACCTTCAAAGCCTCCAGGCAAATAATAGTGCTTGTTTCACCTTCATCCTCTTCATATGCACCGCCTTGAGATACAAAGTCTAAAAATTATGGAACTAAAGTTACTGAGTATACAAAATTAATCAACAAGAAAAGCAGAAAGTCACCATAAAAGTCAAAGCAATACCTGCTGCAGCATCATACATAGAAGTCTCTACTTCTTCTTGGATGCAACTGCCAGTTTTCTATGAAGAAAAAAAAAGAGAGAAGAGAAAGATTCAAATGAATAAACTAAAGGAACTAGGGGGAGAACGATAAAAATTTAAAAGCATAAAAATAAAGAAAGCAACCAGTAGCATAAGTTTTTGCCCATCAAACTGTACCAAAGAACATGCTATATGAAGAATGATACTCATGTCATCTCCAATGATATATATTTTTTTCCATAGAATATAGTAGGTAGAAGAGGACAGAAGACCTACAATATCATAGGTCAAAAGACTCCTAAAATGTTTGAGGAACAATAGCCTCCTGGTACCTGTTTCATGTGCATGATTCTCTTGACTGGAATTTTAAGTTAAAACCACAAATATTTTCACTAATTCCGCTGACATCACTCACATTAACACCACTCCATCTAAGCTTGCAGTACACTCCACAATCTTTACTCATCCTACTCGCCTATTCAGTAACAAAATGAGGAAATTCATGGGCCTTGAAATACTTTTTTGACAAGTAAATTTACATTAGAAAAGCACCCAAAAAAAGAAATCGGGGATGCCCTTGAAATAATTTTCAAATACCTGATCTACCAGATAATATTGGCAATTTTACTCACAAACATAACCACTGGAACAAGGATCCTAAAATCTCTTGCCAAAAAAGTTGCATGTTACATCAAACTTCAAAGATATTATAAATGAGTTCTAACCACCAAATTCCACTGACGACTGTAAAAAATGTATACTCAACTCTTACTGTTCTTAAATCATGGAAGCATCATCAATACCCAAAAGTATTTATTTTAGAAGATAGTTTATATTCCAAATATTTTTAGGTAGTTAATTATGCCTGGACAAAGACTTGTTCCTATTTGCTTTGGTCCAATTGTTCTATATTTGCAGAAATATCTAACTGATTTTTATGCCCATTCCACCTTGGCCGTTGCTATCTAGTTTCTAGAACAAAGGGGTGTTTTGGGAAGTTAGTAAAAAGCTGATTTTTTGGTTTTTTGGCTTTTTTAGTGGCTTTTTTGGCAAAAAGTTGGGTTGTTTTGGGTAAAAAAGTTGGCTTTTTTTGCTAAAAAAAGCTAAAAAGCCAACTTTTTGGCTTTTTACCATTGTTCCCAAAAGAGCCCAAAGTAACCTCCATTTCAGACAAGGACTAGAGCAGAATTGCAGAAATAGATTTAGTAGTATGCTATTGAAGCTCCACTCAAAAAACTGACTAGCTCCTAAAGAATATCTGGTAAGGAACATTAATATCTAACCACCTTCCATCAAGCTAATTTAAGTTGGACCTCAAGAAAGGTAGTTATCATGCAGTTTTCAGAATTCAGAACCTCATGAGCTTATCGAGCCAAGATCAAGCCTGTTTAACAAATTAATTAGCTCAAAGAAAGGCATTTGGCTCAACTCATCTATCTCACAAATGATCTTAGGCATGCTTGGAAGTAAGCCAGTCTCAGCAACATTCAAGAAGCTAGGTCTATCTGAAAGGCGTAATAGTGAAGATTTCTTGCCCAACAAGCTTACTCGATCTCATTTTCCATTTATAACAAAGAACATTCATCAGAATCGTCAGAAGAAGTGAGTGCTTTTGGAAAAATAGAAATATAAAAACAAATGTCAACCCCTCCAATAGCATTGGCAGTATGCCCGTGCTCCATTTCACACACAATCTCTCCCGGCACCATGAAATTTCTTAATTATTCAACTTAAGTGGGAGCACAGGATGATGTGGCAAGATTTACTTTAATCATATTTGTAAGACAGATGGGGGGATTAAAATTCAGTTATGGGAATAGAAAGAGGGAGCGAGCGCAGAATGGCCTCGTTTTCTCTAAATATCAAGAGAGAGCTGCTGACAAAGAGCAGAGAGATATTAAAATCGCATCAGTGATGTACATTTAACCCTCCTCAAAAACTTGAGCTGCTTCTTCACTAATCAAAGTTTCTCATGGAAACTCAAACATACTATCCAGGTAGTTTTTTTTTTTTTTAAATATATGAATCTATGATCATTGAAAAACTATATTGTAGACACTACCTTGACAGAGAGGTAGAGTTTTCTAGAATAACATAAATTCTTATTTTGATTAAATAGCTCTACAAAAGAATGGATCATATAGACTTGGAAAATGGAAATATTTGTGTAAGTTATACATTTTTATACATTTTGTCACCACTTGCTGGAAAATAGTTAATTTATCCCATATAACAAACACAGCGATGAGCAACATGTTTACCTCAACTTTGGCTAAATGAGATTCTATTGAATTTCTGTATGTTTCCATTGCACCAGGGGACACCACGTAGAAGAGGTTTTCCTGCAAAGAAAAAAAACTCAATGTTGAACTTTAAAATGAAAAGACAAAAGTACAACAAAAAGGAATACAAAATTTCTCTCCCAGGTATCAAATTCAGACATCCTAAAACAGTTTGATCAACTCATGAGAGTGAGAGAGAAGTTTCCGGGGTCAAATTTAATTGTTTAACCAATAGGCAAAAGTATGCAAGTGTCAATCCATACTTCTGTAAGGTGATCCTTCCACGACATTTCTTGAATGCCCAAATCAGATACCCTGTCAGGTGTTGCCGGAGCTTCAGCCAGGCCAAGCAGCACAAGGGAGGTATTATTCTTCAGAAACATCACTGCATATCCCTGAACAGCACATACAAAATCTCTTCGAGAACATTGCAGACTGCTCGCCGCCATTGTCGTCAATCGCCGATCGTCGCTAGCCACCACTGTCGCCGATTGCCGCTCGTTGTCGCCTCCGTGAGAGTGAGAGAGAGAGAGAGAGTGTGTGTTGTTTCGAAACTTAGGGCTCTGAAACTTAGGGCTCAACAAACCTGAAAGGAAATGAAAAAAAAGGGGGGAAAAAGGGGGGAAATTAAGGTTTTGTTTGGTTTAGATTTTCAGGATATTTTTAATATTTTGATTTTCGGAATATTTTTAATATTTTTAATATTTAATTTTTTAAATATTTTTAATATTTTAATGTTTATACAAGCCTAAAAAATTAATTGACAGAAAATAATTGACATAGAAGTTGTTTGAAAAAAAAATATTCAAAAAAATTACTTAAAAACAATTAATTTTAAAAAAAAAATTTATTTGAGTATTTTGAAAATAGTTTGGTTATGACTGTTGATCAAAAATACGGATATCGAGTTATGAGTTATGTGTTTGATTATCAATTATAGGTTGAATTAAGTTTTGAAAACTATTTTGAAAACTCATCACTAAAAAAATTTTCTTATTTCATATGTCACATCAAACTTTCAAAATTTAATTCCTCATACAATTCAAAACTCAATTCAACACTCTATTAAAAAATCTTAACTAAACAAATTTTTTGTAGTAGAGGAGAGGGAGCGGCAGTAGTGGTGAAGGTGGTGGTGGTGGTGGTGGTGGTGGTGGTGATGATGACGAAGGAGATTAGTGATGAAGTTGTGGTAGTGGTATGAGAGATAGAGTGACGGCGATGGATGAGAGGTAATAGTAGTAGTAGTGGTGGTGGTAGCAGTGGTGGTAGTCGTACAGGTGAAGTGGCGACAGTGGAAGTAGTGGTGGTGGTGGAATGGCGTTTGCAGTAGTGGTGAAGGTGGTAGAGGAGATGGGTGGTGAGAGAGAGAGATGAGTGAGACACAGATAAATGAGAGAGAGAGAGAGAGAGAAAGAAAGAAAAAGAGACAGAGTGATGAGCGAGAGAGAGACAAAGTGGTCGCTAAAAGTGCATTTTTCTTGTAGTGGATCGATAAATCATGAGAGAGATCAGCAAATAGAGAAGACGGCAGAGAGAGAGAGGGGAGAGAGAGAGAGAGAGAGAGAGAGAGAGAGTGAGCAATGCAAAAATAGTGGGAGAGAGAGAGAGAAAAAAAAAGAAAGAGATAAAAAGTGAGAGACAGAAAAGAGACAGAGAGAGAAGAGAGAGAGAGAGAGACAGTGTTGTTTCCAATCTTAGGGCTCTGAAACTTAGGGCTCTACAAACCTAAAAGGAAATGAAAAAAAATGGGGGAAAGAAGGGGGGAAAATGGGGGAAATTAAGGTTTTGTTTGGTTTAGATTTTCGAAATATTTTTAATATTCTTAATATTTAATTTTCTAAATATTTTTAATATTTTAATTTTCTAAATATTTTTAATGTTTATATAGGCCTAAAAAATTAATTGACAAAAAAATTAATTGACAGAAAATAATTGACATAGAAGTTGTTTGAAAAAAAAAAGATTTGAAAAAAAAATATTCAAAAAAATTACTTCAAAACAATTAATTGAAAAAAAAAACATTTTTTTATTTGAGTATTTTAAAAATAGTTTGGTTATGACTGTTGATCAAAAATACGGATATCGAGTTATGAGTTATATGTTTGATTATCAATTACAGGTTGAATTAAGATTTGAAAACTAATCACCAAATAGATTTTCGTATTTCACATGTCACATCAAACTTTCAAAACTCAATTCCACATACAATTCAAAACTCAATTCAACACTCTATTAAAAAACCATAACTAAACAAATTTTTTGTAGTAGAGGAGAGGGAGCGACAGTAGTAGTGAATGTGGTGGATAAGAGGTGGTGGTGTGGTGGTGGTGATGGTGAAGGAGATTAGTGTTGAAGTTGTGGTAGTGGTATGGGAGATGGAGTGACGGCGATGGATGAGAGGTAATAGTAGTAGTAATAGTGGTGGTAGCAGTGGTGGTAGTGGTAGTCGTACAGGTGACGTGGCGACAGTGGAAGTAGTGGTGGTGGTGGAATGACGTTTGTAGTAATGGTGAAGGTGGTAGAGGAGATGGGTGGTGAGAGAGAGAGATGAGTGAGATACAGATAAATGAGAGAGAGAGAGAGAGAGAGAGAAAGAAAGAGAGACAGATTGATGAGCGAGAGAGAGACAAAGTGGTCGCTAAAAGTGCATTTTCTTGTAGTGGATCGATAAATCGTGAGGGAGCTTAGTAAATAGAGAAGACGAGAGAGGGAGATTGAGCAACGGAAACATAGTGGGAGAGAGAGAGAGAGAAAAAGAGAAAGAGATAAAGAGTGAGAGAGAGAGAGAAGAGAGAGAGAGAGAGAGTGTGTTGTTTCGAAACTTAGGGCTCTGAAACTTAGGGCTCTACAAACCTGAAAGGAAATGAAAAAAAAATGGGGAAAGACCGGGAAAAAATGGGGGAAATTAAGGTTTTGTTTGGTTTAGATTTTCGGAATATTTTTAATATTCTTAATATTTAATTTTCTAAATATTTTTAATATTTAAATTTTCTAAATATTTTAAATATTTTTAATGTTTATACAAGCCTAAAAAATTAATTGACAAAAAAATTAATTCACAAAAAATAATTGACATAGAAGTTGTTTGAAAAAAAAAATGATTTGAAAAAAAAATATTCAAAAAAATTACTTAAAACAATTAATTGAAAAAAAACACTTTTTAATTTGAGTATTTTAAAAATAGTTTGGTTATGACTGTTGATCAAAAATACGGATATCGAGTTATGAGTTATGTGTTTTATTATCAATTATAGGTTGAATTAAGTTTTGAAAACTATTTTGAAAACTCATCACCAAACAAATTTTCTTATTTCACATGTCACATCAAACTTTGAAAACTCAATTCCACATACAATTCAAAACTCAATTCAACACTCTATTAAAAAACCATAACTAAACAAATTTTTTGTAGTAGAGGAAATGGTGCGACAATAGTGGTCAAGGTGGGGGATAAGAGGTGGTGGTGGTGGTGGTGGTGATGGCGAAGGAGATTAGTGATGAAGTTGTGGTAGTGGTACGAGAGATGGAGTGGCGGCGATGGATGAGAGGTAACAGTAGTAGTAGTAGTGGTGGTAGCAGTGGTGGTAGTGGTAGTCGTACAGGTGAAATGGCGACAGTGAAAGTATTGGTGGTGGTGGAATGGTGTTTGTAGTAGTGGTGAAGGTGGTAGAGGAGATGGGTGGTGAGAGAAAGAGATGAGAGAGATACAGATAAATGAGAGGAAGAGAAAGAGAAAGAGAGAGAGAGAGAGAAAAAGAAAGAGAGACAGAGTGATGAGCGAGAGAGAGACAAAATGGTCGCTAAAAGTGCATTTTCTTGTAGTGGATTGAAAAATCTAGAGGGAGCTCAGTAGATAGAGAAGACGGGAGAGAGAGAGTGAGCAACGCAAACATAGTGGGAGAGAGAGAGAGAGAGAGAGAGAGAAAAAAAAAAGAAGAGATAAAGAGTGAGAGACAGAAAAGAGACAGAGAGAGAAGATAGAGAGAGAGAGTGTGTTGTTTCGAAACTTAGGGCTCTGAAACTTAGGGCTTTACAAACCTGAAAGGAAATGAAAAAAAAAAAGAAAAGGGAAAAGACGGAGGAAAAAGGAGGGAAATTAAGGTTTTGTTTGGTTTAGATTTTCGAAATATTTTTAATATTCTTAATATTTAATTTTCTAAATATTTTTAATATTTTTAATGTTTATACAGGCCTAAAAAATTAATTGACAAAAAAATTAATTGACAGAAAATAATTGACAAAGAAGTTGTTTGAAAAAAAAATGATTTGAAAAAAAATATTCAAAAAAATTACTTAAAAACAATTAATTGAAAAAAAACCATTTTTTTATTTGAGTATTTTAAAAATAGTTTGGTTATGATTGTTGATCAAAAATACGGATATCGAGTTATGAGTTATGTGTTTGATCATCAATTATATGTTGAATTAAGTTTTGAAAACTATTTTGAAAACTCATCACCAAACAAATTTTCTTATTTCACATGTCACATCAAACTTTCAAAACTCAGTTCCAAATACAATTCAAAACTCAATTCAACACTCTATTAAAAAATCATAACTAAACAAATTTTTTGTAGTAGAGGAGAGGGAGCGACAGTAGTAGTGAAGGTGGTGGATAAGAGGTGGTGGTGGTGGTGGTGGTGGTGGTGGTGATGGCGAAGGAGATTAGTGATGAAGTTGTGGTAGTGGTATGGGAGATGGAGTGGCGGCGATGGATAAGAGATAATAGTAGTAGTAGTAGTGGTGGTAGCAGTGGTGGTAGTGGTAGTCGTACAGGTGAAGTGGCAACAGTGGAAGTAATGGTGGTGGTGGAATGGCGTTTGCAGCAGTGGTGAAGGTGGTAGAGGAGATGGGTGGTGAGAGAGAGAGATGAGTGAGATACAGATAAATGAGAGAGAGAGAGAGAGAAAAAGAAAGAGAGACAGAGTGATGAACGAGAGAGAGACAAAATGGTCACTAAAAGTGTATTTTCTTGTAGTGGATCGATAAATCGAGAAGGAGCTCAGTAAATAGAGAAGACGGGAGAGAGAGAGTGAGCAACGCAAACATAGTGAGAGAGAGAGAGAGAAAAAGAGAAAGAGATAAAGAGTGAGAGATAGAAAAGAGACAGAGAGAGAAGAGAGATGAACGAGAGAGAAAGAGAGAGATAGAGAGAAGAGAGATGAGCGAGAGAGACATAAAGAGAATAGAGATGAACGAGAGAGACAGAGAGAAATATAAATAGAAGAGAGATAAGTGAGAGAGATATGTGAGAGATGAAAGAGATAGAGAGAAGAGAAATGGGCGAGAGAGATAAAGAGAAAAGAGATGAACGAAAGAGACAGAGAGAGAAAAGAGATGAGAGAAGAGATAGATGAGTGAGAGACACAGAGAGAGAGAGAGAGAGAGACAAATAGACAGACAGAGAGAGAAGAGTGATGAGTAAGAGAGAGAAAGAGAAGAGAGAGATGAAGATGAAAAAATGGATGAAAAGATATAGACAAAGAGAGAGAGGGATGGAGAGAGAGAGAGAAAAGAACGAAAAGAGATAAACGAGAG